CAGAGGCTCCCTGGCACCCTCCCTCCCCCCCAGTGGGCAGGTTTTGTTTCCGTTTTTCAGCCTCCAAACTGACGGTCTGGCTTCCAGCTCGGTTGGCTGGGACCCCCTCTTCCCCTCCTGGGGGGCGGGGGGAATGGCATGTTGTGTTGCTTGTTAGCTTTTTTTCTTTGGGTGAGTTTCTAGCCTCTTTCCTGTCTCAGGTTGCAATATTTCTACCAGGAAGGGTCTGTTTTGAAGCACCTACCTTTCTGGGTGCTCAACCCCAGTCTAGGGCGGTCGGCCGAACGGACAGCACAGCACACTGGACTTGTGATCCTGTGGTCCCGGGTTCGATCCTGGGTGCGGGCAAGAAACAATGGGCAGAGTTTCTTTCACCCTATGCCCCTGTTACCTAGCAGTAAAATAGGTACCTGGGTGTTAGTCAGCTGTCACGGGCTGCTTCCTGGAGGTGGAGGCCTGGTCGAGGACCGGGCCACGGGAACACTAAAGCCCCGAAATCATCTCAAGATAACCTCAAGATAGGGCAGACATGGACACTTTCATACATAAGAGTTTCATAGGCTATTGCACCCTGCGCCTCTCTGAGGGGACCATGTTCTGGCTAGTGGTCCCCGTTAGGCATGACAACTCCATCAGACTGAAGCTCCCCGTACTAATATTAGCTAATATCAGTCCAATAACTCTAGAGAGCCGATGGAGCTCTACCCAGAAAATGGCATTTCATTACATTCAACACTGTTTTTTTTTCTTGTGTACATGGATCATATTTACAATATGTACACAGTAGAATGTTCATAATGTTTAAAGGAACATGTCACTAATGTATCCACTAAAAATGTTTATTGTCACAATATTACTTATTCAATTTTCATTTTATTTTCAAAGTTTACACTATTACATACTGTTCTTTACTGTATTATGCACTTGGTACTTCACGGGTGTGAGATAATCACTGAAGCAGTTAATAGTGCTCAGTCAATGGCAGCTTTGCACTCCATACACCAGGTACACATGCAGATTTTTGCTTCCTGTGTCTTTGTTGTGTGTGCGTGCAAACAATTCAAGCACATTTTCTTTTTGTCGTCTGTTTTTGTACTATACTGTAAACCATCTTTGTAACCCAGTCTGTTGGGAAATGCTTGAGGCATTGTTGACACAAACTCTCGTCACAGCACTACCTTCCTGGCCAAACTTCACAAGTAATTGTGACAAGAGAGCAAGACTTGTACAAGTATATGGATTGATAGTTTCTTGCCTGATGTCACCAAATACATGTTTAAACAGTTCAGTAATGTTACGTCCATAAGATGAAAAAACTATTTCTTGGTCCACTTTACAGTTTATAATCTTTAAACTTTTCGCTCACATCACTGAACACTTTTCTAACTTTCCAGAGTCTATTGTTTTAATCCATATTATCATTGTTTTCAAAGTGTAGGCACCTTAGAAGTAGCAGGAACTATGACATGTACCTTGCAACAACTGGGGGGTTGGTTCAACAGTCTTTGTTCCAATAGTCCTGGATGACTTGTTTTGCAGCATGTTTCATCATCATACACAGTGCAAGAAACATATACATTTCACCAATGCTTGTGTCTTTCCAACATTGTCATACGTAAAGCTGGTAATATGCCAGATGCAATGAGTTGCATTGTGTAACGGTTTGTTTCTTCAACAAGATGCTGCATAAACGGAATAAAAAATACGCCACAAAATAATACATTTCTCTCGTATCATCGCAAGTACAAGGAAAAATTTCTGTGACACTTAACATCTGTATCATCAAATGTTGGTATTTCTGGTGTAAATGCATCACAATCTTCCCACACGAGTCCAGCCATGTTGCTTGTACTGGCTCCACCATCGTGAGCGCCAACGTACCTGCTCCGTTTACTTCAATTAAAACTCTGTTGGCCAAGAGATGAAGCTCTTCTATGTTGCATGGGCCCCACCACGAACAGCTGAAGTGGAGTCAACACTGTTTTCAGCGTCCCCATAGCTAGGGACACACCGGCGCTTGCCAGAGTATACGACTGAAATGGCGAATCTTTGCCTGGTAACACCACCACAAAAGCTGCTAAAATTAGGATTATCTGTGCTACGTGTACCTGAACCACTGTCACTGAACCTAAAAAAAGCCTCGTCTCCAAGATAATCACAGCATTCGGGAATGTCAGATGGCACAGGTGGTGGTGATAATGGGAGTAGCGTTGACCTGGCACGGTACAACTGGGGGGTGAGATGGCCGTACTCTACACACTCATTGTATCGTCATCAGTGTCTGTATCACTCGTATCTGATACTTTGCTTTAGGTCTTTATCAGACTTTTGGTTGTCAACATCACCAGTGCAGTCCTCTTCAAACAATATGTTCTGTATGTCGTATTCAGGGAGTGGTTTTTCAACCACGCAACCCATGGGAGTCGGGGAGCTAGATGGGTATGTGATGGCAATAGTTGCTTACTCGAGAATGACCCAACTGTCAGCCATCAGGCATGCTGGGAATTTGTTTTCAAACTAGTGGATGCTCACTTTAGGCCTCAGGCCTCCATCTGCTACCCAACCTACCATGCTACCATGCACACGTTTTGAATCTTACGATATACCCACAAGCACCTAAAGGTGTTATGCACACCACAGATTGATTGTGCAGTGCAGGGGGGTTAAAATCTACTGGAGATGGACTGATTTCCATTAGCAGTATCTCAGGAACTGGAGAGACCCAATGCTGAAGACATTTAGCAGCTTTTCTCAGAGACAGAGACAGAGAGAGAGGAAGCATAAATGGATGACATCTGAATACACTTTGACCCTGTTCCAATGGGGCAAATACAATCTGTCCTAATAGAACGTCACATTTTGATGTATACTTTATCTAAGGCCAAAAATTATCGTACTAGAAAATGGTAGCTGCTTGTGAAATTTATCCCGTTTTCTGTTTTAGGTCCTCTGGTAGGTAAGGATAAGTGCGCTTTAATACGACAGTTTCTTGATGATGGAAAATCTTAACACTATCACTCGCTTTGGACACCAAACACGTCCACTTTTTTTCTCTTGAGTCCTAGCCGTGGACAGTGCTCACGTCCATTACAAAAATATTTGTATAAAATTCATTTTATATCCGATCGACTTCGAGATTGTTTCAAAATAAGTGCCTTTAGAGTGCGCACAATTTGATACCAAAATGAAAGATGTAACACGAAACTTGATGTCAGAACACTTGAAAGATTATAAATATGTTTTTGGTCAAAATGTTAAAATATTTGTTAAAATTCTATTTATAGTACTATTATTTTGGGACTAGTTTTAAAATGCACACCTCTACATTGCGAACAATTTGATACCAAAATGAAAGATGTAACACAAACATTTATGTCAGAACACTGGAATGATATAAATAATTTTGTGATGATGAGCTTCCAGAATTAAAATATTGGTTAAAATTCCAGTTATTGCTCTATTATTATGGGACTAATTTTAAAATACGCGCCTTTTTATTGTGAACAATTTAATACCAAAATGAAAGACTTAACACGAAAATTGATGTTGTCAAACTGAATGAGTATACACATTAGGTTGCGGTGTGCTAATTGGTGCTTGTTTATGGGTAACTTTAGGCTTCCCTGCCGGGAGGCATGCCAGGCTTTTGTACATTACTGTATATGCATATACACCTGTAGGGAATTTAATTGCGAACACAACGATACCAAAACGAACCACGTAGCACGAGAATTAACAGAAAAGTTTGAATGTAGCACAAAGCTAGTTCATCAAATCCTCAAAATCCACCTCATTAAAGAGAATAGGCTCAACTCCCACATGCTTTGTTGACATTGGGCAATCTACCAATGCCCTTGTTTTTATCTCTACAATCAAGATACCTACCATCTTTTCGCTTCATCTGCACTGTCTGGGCAGCTTTACTCAGTTTCAAGGTTGATCTCGGATGCCCCATGCTCGCCTCACTTCTATGAGCACACCAGATTCTGGTCCTGGTGTTCAGTAGGCCTGTGCAAGTAGAGCCTGGTTGTTTTGTAGATGTCTCTAAAGTGCCAGAGGCAATGCACTAGGGATTTTTCCAATACTGTATATTTATGTTTGTGTTCTATTGTCTAACTTAAAAAAAAAAGTTGTTACCCCAAAATTGGGAATATAGTCATTGATTCCCAAAAGTCATAGTTTGTTAGGGACCTCACTGTAATGAATGATGTTTAGGAGAACTTAATCCATTCAAGTGGGGTTGCTCTGTAGTACATAATGATAGTGCTGAAGAATCTCAACACTTTGTGAAAGTGATATGTGACTATGCTAAACTTATATGCCAGTCTTAATTTTGTTTACATGTAAGTGGAAGGCATAAAATCCTTTGGCTTAGATTCTTGAGTGTTGGCTTAGTATCTTGAGTATTGGCTTAGCAGGTGTCAAAAATTGGTTAAATTACAGAAGGAAATAGGGAGGTCCTATTTAGAGTCTAAGCAGATGAAGAATCCTAAGAGAAGAATGCATAAGAAATCACATCTTGTGATGCGTTCAGTATTTATGAAGATATCTCCTCATGTTAACTGCTCCTGTAAGGAATTTGTATTGAACAATAATAATCCCAACTAATGTGTGTCCAGTGTCATAATTATAACTGTGTCCCCCCTAGGCATATTTTTTAGACAAATTACTGCATGACTGGAGTGAGTGATGAAAATGTAAGAAAAAAGATGGACATGATTAGTGAAGATAGCATGTAATACTGTGGAAGATACACAAGATAGTGGGCCATACTGTGTGAATGGTAGACAAATTATGTGGGTTGACTGTTGAAAGAGGTAGGGTGTTGTGGGTATTGCTAAATTGGTTAATTGTAAATGGTACAGTGGTGAGTTTTAATATACTGTATTCTGTTTTCTAATTATAGTCTGGTAGAATTTTATCATTATAGTGTAATTTTTGCACATTAATAATTCTGTTTTTTTTTTTTTTTTTTTTTTTTTTAACAATGTCCAATGCAGATGAAACGTGCAGATGTTACTGAAGATGGTTTAGAAAAATGCACCATTTGCCTGTCTGAGTTCGAGGAGGAAGAAGATGTACGAAGGCTTCCGTGCATGCATCTTTTCCATATAGAGTGTGTTGACCAGTGGCTAGCAACTAACAAACGCTGTCCTATCTGTAGGGTGGATATTGAAGCTCATCTCACCAAGGACTACACGGCCACATCTTCATGAAATCAATACTCTAGTAAGAGTGGAATATCTTGAAGCCACCCCATTCATGCCATTGTGCTTGTGAGGTGACAGTGGAAGACTTGATCAATCCTTCCTCTGGACCCTGTAGAGCATGTTCATACTTTCTACAAGTTACATGTCCTAAAAACAGTTCCACAGCACAAAATATCTGGTTGATTAGGGGAAGATTTCCCACTTACTAGAGGTCTGCAAGAAAAAGTACATGAAATGGCTTATTTCAACTGATGTAAATCCTCGTTTAGGGCTAGAGTTAAGAGAGTATGAAGTGGCGCATGGATATACGGTGCCTCGTGCAGGCATGATCCTCAGTGCATGGAGCAGGACAAGCTTCTGCTGGACCTTATTATAGTAACCAGCTTCAGGGACATTGCTTGTATCTTCAGTACTGTGGAGAATCCTACCTACTGTGTCAGTGCAAGAACTTATGGTATATACTGTATAGTAATTCAGAATGTTATAATTCTCCCATTAAAACAGAAACAGTAAATTGTGTGTGTATACATACACATGCTTGCACGCACGCACATGCACACACATATAATGCCAGTAATGGGTGAAATAGCCAAACTGCATACAATTCTCATTTTAATCCAAATTGTTGTAACTATTATTTTTCAGAAGTTCTACACTAAACAACACTGACAGCTTAACCGGAATTTACACTTGAACTATTTGGCATAACTGGTAATGCATGATTTGGCATAGTCATCATGTAGTGATATAATTAAATATTGTTGTCTTTCCCACAACTACACAGGCTTCCTTTTAAATTATAGCAAGGAAATAAATGGCAGTATTCCTCTTATTTTGCAAAAAATAGGACTTTTATGCAAGGCTTAAATGGCAGGTTTCGCCTATTTATATACAGTACGTATTTGTGTATTATGTGTATACAGAGAAGTGACTGGAATGAACCAAAATATTCTACTGGTGTACATAGGTGGCTGATGATGTAAGTTTTAAGATATAATTTAAAATTGGATATGTGGATAATGGTTTATGGCCAGTTTTGAGATGGTTAACCATATATGTGTATGTGCTGTACATATATGCATATATGCGTATTGTATACATGTACATGAAATATTCATACCTAATAATACAGTATATACATTACACATATGATACACATATTACAGGCAGTGAGTCACTGTATAAATTACCAACATATCTTCCATATCTTAATAAGATTTGGGATCATTTCTTGCATTGTCTGCTAATGCTACTTGTATAAAAGTTGTTAAAAGTTGGCCAAAGTAGTCCGTAGAGTTGCCCTTGTCTTCGGAGGATGCAAAACCAGTTAGTGTGTGTGTGGTGCAATAGCAAGGGTATGAGATTGTGTATAGAGGCATGGTTTTAGCATGTGTCGATAATACACAGTAGTAGGCATGGTACATTTTGTGGGAATGTCGCAAGGCATGTTATTTTATGGGGGCACGCATTTTGAAAAGTGCAAAAGGTGTATGTACTGTCGCCAAATCATATTTGAAACGGGTGTATTCTTATGAAGAAAAGCATGGCTAAACTGGAATGGGGGCAAGACAGAACACTGGCAGTAGTCTGTATAGATGTTGGAGCCAAGTTCAGTAAACTGGATAGATAGGGCATTTGGCGCTCTGCATTGAAGAAGGAACAGCCTCCATATTCTTTTAACCAGGTGTAAATATTGGAATGATGTAGTTAACAGAATGTTTCGTTAGCTCTAGGCTGCTAAGTTTTTTGATTAAGTAAGGTATTTATATTGACGTTTGGAATTTGTATAATTCTGTGTAATATCAGACTTATCTAAGGCGGAAAGAGGAAACTATTTGAGATGTGATTCACAAGAGGTTATTTTTTCTTCATTTTCTTACCTGTTTCCTAGGGATTGGGATTAAGCCCCGTTAGTCCCCACACACTCAGGTATGGTGCAGAAATAGTCAAGTATGCCGTAGATATGCCACCAGTGTGAATGTTTGCCACCTCAAGGACTTGGTGCACGTCTTAAGACTGACAGCGGAGTTCTTGTATATTTATGATGAGTGGTTTGAATGTGATATGTTTAACATAAAGTTTGCATGTAGTACACATTTTATTTTATTATCTTGTGATTGTATATTTTTACCTTTTATCCTGTATTGTGGTGAAGGTTGAAAGGATTTCTTATGACTTTACCTGTAACCTTTCATCTTTGTGATAATGACTTTATTATTTGTCTTTTAAGTGGTTATAATATACTACCATCAACAAAGTTTATTTAAAATTTTATATTATTCCCAAGAATTGTAATTGTTTACCATGAAACACATCAATAGAATGGACTTGCTCTTCTGTTTGACTGATAGATTGTCACGTTTGCATCTCCATATTTGTATTTGAGCCAATGTTGTACCTGTTACAGTTTAGTATCATTTCTCTCCTTCATTGCTGTGTTATTTTTGGCTTGAAACATGGCAACAGTCACTGCAGACAAGCATTAGTGGCATCTTGCCTAGTTCTGCAGAAAATGTTCAGGTAAGACTGAATATCAGTTGAACCATCTCATAGGTGTGGCTGCCTTGAATTGCATACAGCCACAAAACAAGGTTGAAACCTTGTGTAAATAATCGAATGGTCATTTTACCCCTAAGCTGCGCAATACTTACATGGCGATGGGATCGGAAACTCAGTTTTTCAAACTTGCTCAAACGCTTTCAAATTTTTTGTTCATAATCTACTTAGGCAAATGCTCCAACTTTGTCTAAATAATCACCAACGTAACTTGAAAAAATAAGAAAATAAAAAATAATTATCAAATTGAATATTGAAAATTAGCTTAAAAAATATCACATTGTTCATTTGGTGTTATTATGCTCTCAGAATAGCATATGATCTTCATTTTCATAGATTGAGAACATAGGTTTTCAGTATACCCCAGTAGTTTGCTGTAAAAAAAATTGTCGATATGGCATTTGAAATATGCGCCAAATTTAGACAACAAAAAATTTAACTCCAAACAGTTAGATTTTAGGAAAAATCAAATCTCCAGGATTGTAGAACAGCTGTGCACGTTACATGTAAAAATGATGAGAATCGGTCAGAAATTTGATTTTTGAAGCTGACTTGAATTTGAAATTCTAGTTACAGATATAATTGAAGTTATCGACAATGAATAAGGTTGCTCTAATTCGTTAATTTACTTGAATGTTTTAATAAACACTGTTTGGTACTCGTACTCGAATATGTGAAAGTTGTAGGTCAATGTGTTGAAATGAAATCAAGAAAAACTAACCTCCCAAAAAACAAAATATAGGGATAGTTATAATGATTTAAGGGATATATATGTATACTTTATATAAGTGATAAAACCCTAATCAAAACAACCTAAAGAGTCAAAGAAAATAAGAATTTGTAATCAGTGAAAAAATAGCCAAAAAAAAATCATAGTGCCAAATTCTGCCAGTTTTGACTGATTTATTTGTTGACCAATTTCATTCTATCTTCACATAGTTAGGGACGGGTATACACTCTCCAGGATGTAGAGGTTACAGCAAGATCAGATAATAAACAAAGGAGACAAAAAAAAAAAAAAAAAAAAAAAAAAAAAAAATCTAAAAAAATATTTTTTGGACAATGGTGAAAGTAACATATTAACATTGGGCAATGTATTTATATGATTTATAACACCAATGCCCAAAAAATATTTTCTTAGGGTATTTTTTTTTTAATTTGTTTATGTTGTTATGAGCATAATAACATACTCATTATTATTTGTGATATTGTTTATTACTCAGCAATGTTATAAAGGCAGCAGCTGCGTATCCACTTTGTGGACACTTCTTACTACTATTCTTTGTGCGTCAGACAGGTGCTTGCATCTCTTTATTACTGCATAATCCCTCAGTTCCAGTTAATAGGAGCTGTTCTTATCAACAAAACTTTCTTGAAAAAAAAATTGTCTAAAATCCATTTCTGAAAATATTGGGATGAAGCTTTCACAACGCTGAAGCCAATAAGTTGGAGATTTGTTTAACATTTATAAGTATTTTTCACGTGATTCGACTATTTTTTAGTTTCCCGGCCCCTTAATTAAGGCTGTAGCAGCTTGGGGGTTAATGCTAAAGATGTCATTTTGTCTTTAAAATATAACTTGAGAATTTCAATGTAGCACAAGGTGCCCTTTTTGCTCAATTTTAATTTGAGAACTTTAGGTATCATATTTTGTAATATATTTTTGAAGTAATATTATTTCTCTAGAGTTAAAAGTTGAGGTAAATTGTGTTGGTCTCTTTTCAGTAGACTTCATTAGCCAAAGATATTATGCTGTAGAAAATTCTGATATGCTTTCCATTTCTATTAATAACAATTATAAGACTAGGAGTAATGTGATTTTAGTTAATTGTTGCTGCGAGATTGACACCATTGGGAACATGGTGTAGTGTGACACCATTGGGAACATGGTGTAGTGTATCAGAAGCAATGACAAGAATACTTGATCTTGGCTCACTGGTTCTTTACCTGATTTTAAACCATAATTCTATACAAAAAATACATATGCAATTATGTTTTAGCTTTACCTACTGTTTTATATTCTGTATTTCACTATTGACCTACCCCTTTAAAAATCTTGTAAATTATGTCAGTTTAGAGATTTTCTCTTAAAGATCATGGAGGTTGTTTGTTATTGTTGATATGATGGTAGTGAAGACAGTAAATGTCATTCATATATTCATGCAGTTTCCCTCTCATTCACCTTGTGGGTGGCTGTCATGTTACCAGTCAGCTCCCATGCCCCATCATCCACCCCTTTTTTTGTCTGGCTAGTCATGACACCACTCAGTCTGCCTCCCACCCCCTCCACTTATGACTGGCTATCATGATGCCAGCCCATCCCCACTCACCCTCTCTTTGACTGTATGTCATTGTGCCGGTCAGACCTCCCTTAACCCCTCTCCTTTGCACTGGCTGTCATGGCTTAAGTAACCTGTATGTTACATTGTGTATTATTTATGCATCTGTAATGCATATAAATTTACATGTAGAGGGTTTTAAGGTATTTTTTTATTTGTTATTAGTTGTATTTCCATTACCTCATATTTTAGCCTTTGGAGTTTGCAATATAAAGCTGTTGTTTGTAACTATCTTAAATGAATCCAGGAGAACTGAAACTGCTATTGAAATATAATACTGCAAAATGAAGGTCAAGTTGAAAGTATGGTGCATATTTGCCATACATTTTCTTAACTCTTGCTATTGATAGAAACAATCTTCACAAAAAACTTCAAAAGTTTTAATGTTAGTAACCCAACCTTCACACATGGAAGGAAAGTTTTGACGTTTTGATCTGTCCTGAACCTTTATTACATTGTGTTCGCACAGCTTGTTCATAATCCATGATGGACCCAAACATCGTCACTTTCCTTTTTTTTTTTTTTTAATGTGTGTGGGGGGGTGGGTTGGCTTAGTAATTTTTAGCCATGTTATGGTGACATTCTCTGGTATTGAGATTTTAGTTTTGTGCTTCACTGCGGTAAAAGTTAACTCGAGTAAATGTTTCTGCATACCAGTTAAAGATAGTTCCAGATCATAGTTAATATTTTACAGGTTTGCCTATGTAGATTGTAGTAAGGGATTTTGATGTATTTTTTAAGCCATTTTCATGTGATTGTTTTTATTCTTCCTCATGGATTGTTCTGAATATGCAACATTAATATCATAGACCTTCACTTGCAGTATTGTATTCCATTGCATTTGTACAACATGTTAAACAGATTCATTTTGCACATCTCTTCAAACCTCTTTATTAGCTGATAAATTTGTTACCTGTGGCTAAATTGTGTTTTGAGTGAGGTGTTAAAATGGTTGATACATGATTACTGGTAGTAAAGCATAGCTTGTATTGCTACCAGAGCCTTTCGCTTTCCTTGTTTTATTATGGCCATATTGGCCAAGTGGAACCATTGGGAACGTGTGTGTGTTGTGTGTGATACCACTCGTCTCGCTTGAATCCTCACGTTCATTTCAGAATATAGATGGGAATAATATATTTTTTATAGCATATTATAAGGCCAGGTTTTTAATTGCACTTTGATCTTATCTTATATATGTATACATAAACATATAGACAGTGCGACCTCGATAATCCAGACTACGTATATCATTTTGGACTCCTTCCGGATTTCACTACATTATTTTTTTTCTTTTGTCAAAAAATTATGTTAAACATACTGGTACTTTCGCATATTTAGACAAACAATACTGTACAGTATATACACATGCATTATAAATGATTAAATTATTAAAAATATAATAAAAACAACTTTGTACTTTTTGAAGACCTCCCCATTCTTTTTGTAAACTGGTTAATGTAGCTGATCATAATTTGAGCCATTGAGCTTTTCTCTCCAAGTTTCTTTGGTGCCAGAATGCTCACAAGTTGCAATAATCTCTCAAGTCTTGGCTTTCTACTATTGTTGGTTTCAGAAACTGCAAATAAATATGAATAAATGTTGAGGCTGTATGATGAAAGTGAATCTGCAATGATATACTCCTCGGGCACATGCACTACCAAGCGAGGTGCCCGAGTTGTTCAGGGTTGCATGTTTGCCTCCGTCATACTGCCTCAATATTTATTGATTCATGATATTTTTGTTTTCATTGTGTAGAGCCTAATACCAACAATAGACTCCTCTATCAGCACTTTCACTCCCAAGCCATTATCACCTCTTCTTCCTCCTATATACCCAAACTATTCTTACTATCGCACACATTCTACTTTCAACTAGAACGTGCTAAACACATTCATGCACGTTTAAATGTTAAACACGGATAGCATGTAAAGCTATCACAGGGTCTAGACATGTCTATCATCACTCTACCATCTCTTCCTCTTATCTGGGCAACCAGACCCAGTATGTATCTTTCATGCTCCTCAATTGAGCAGTGTAAAAAACAAAAAATTCATGAAAATTCTTTATGTAACAAGTTTGGCCACGGTCACTTTGGAAGGTGTACATGGTTGGGAAAGGTCCACACTGTGGCAGAATAAGATTTATTAAAAAAAAAATTTAACCAAATTGATCAAATGTGTTGAGCACATAATAACTATGTTGAGTCAGGATTATTGATTTCATCAATATATTAAAAACAAAGACAAGTTTACAAAATTTTATTTTGTTCTGGTAAAAAAATCTGTTATAGAGTTCCGGGTTTTTCAGGTCCACTTCATAAATATTGTAAGTCTTTGTGTGTGTATAGTGCGTAAATATGTGTATGAATACGTGCATGAAATGCTGGAATAGCTCCAATTGTACAACAATTCGCTCAATGACCTCCTCAAGAGCTCAAACCTAGACCACCAGGGTGGAAGCCCTGTACTATACTCACGAAACCAACAATAGCAACTTAAGACTGTCAATGGTTAAGTGGGTATAGCATTGAGCTTCCACCCTGGCTGCCTAGGTTCAAGCCCTTGAAGGGTGGCCATTGAGTGAATTGTGTAATTACCAAAGTGTAGTTCCAGGATGACAGCAATGCTTGTGATGTCCCGTCTTCACAGTATTGTACTCTGCCATATAACGTTTTGAAACTACTGACGGTTTTGGCCTCTACCATCTCACTTAACTGTGTGTAATTATATAAGTGTAGTTACAGCATTTAGAGCTATGCTCATGGTGTCCCGTCTTCTCCGTATTCTTTGTCATATGACATTTTAAAACATCTGACAGTTTTGGCGTCCACCACCACCTCACCTAACTTGTTCAAACTGTCAGTCACTGTTTACAAAGTAAAACTCTCTAATAATTTTTCTGGCATCTTGTACCGTACTTGAATCTATTACCTCTTGTTCTTGATGTTGCCAGTTTCAAGAATTTTTGTCAATTTTGTAAATTTGTGTGTGTGTGTGTGTGTGTACTCACCTAGTTGTGCTTGCGGGGGGGTTGAGCTTCAGCTCATCGGTCCCATTTCTCAACTGTCAATCAACTGGTGTACAGATTCCTAAGCCCAATGGACTCTATCATATCTACACTTGAAACTGTGTATGGAGTCAGCCTCCACCACATCACTTCCTAATGCATTCCATTTCTTAACTATTCTGACACTAGAGGAATTCCAGGTCTCAAAAATTCTTGTCAACTTTGTTTAAAATATATATTAAACCTTTCATTGTCCACCATAGTCTTCAAGCTCTACCTTGAGCTTGACGGTAGAGCGACGGTCTCGCTTCATGCAGGCCGGCATTCAATCCCCGACCGTCCAAGTGGTTGGGCACCATTCCTTCCCCCCGTCCCATCCCAAATCCTTATCCTGACCCATTCCCAGTTCTATATAGTCTTAATGGATTGGCGCTTTCTCCTGATAGTTCCCTTCCCTTGGTGTTGGTGTGTTTGTGTACGTGTGTGTATGTACATGTTTAACTTTTTTTAATTTAATAATGCAGGATGTTGAGTATTTAATTTATTTCAAAATCTTTCCTCTCAAAAATGAGGACAAAAAAGAAATTAAAAGTGTGATGGTCAGTGTTGCCATACGGTGCCTACAGCCGAGCCATGTCCATGACAGAGGTTGATTTGATTGATGAACAAATCCACAAGGGCCGTGACGAGGATTCGAACCTGCGTCCGGGAGCATCCCAGACACTGCCTTAATCGACTGAGCTACGACAGGGTAAAAGAGTTGAAACCGAAGTTCTACTGAACTTACTGGATCCCGTAGCCTCTCCGAGGCACAAACCAGGCTTTTACACAACCCCTGCCCCCCCTGCACCCGAGCTATGGCAATAGGCCGTTCTCCCTCTTCGCCCTTACATCATCACACACAGAGATCACACTAACGTGATGCGTCAAATGAACAAATCCACAAGGGCCGTGACGAGGATTCGAACCTGCGTCCGTGAGCATCCCAGACATCCTCGAATCACAAATCGAATCCTCGTCACGGCCCTTGTGGATTTGTTCATTTGATGCATCACGTTAGTGTGATCTCTGTGTGTGTTGACTGATGAAGATTAAGCCACCCAAAAGGTGGCACGGGCATGAATAGCTCGCAAGTGGTGGCCCTTTTGAGCCATTACCAGTATCAATAGATGATACTGGAGATCTGTGGAGGTGCGACTGCACCCTGCGTGACGGGAGATATCTCCCATGACAGA